ACTTCTATCATCCATTTACTCAAGCTCATGAAGTAGATCATGCATAGTTTTCCTGAACCTGTTGCTTTCAATTGGTCTTGTGAGTCTCAAATTTTTCAAGCCGACTTTCCTCATATGCCCAAGAAATTTCAACTATCTGTTCTAGATGTTAAGAATAAGTATCTTTTTTGTTTCTATTTTCTCTAAAACTTCTTCATTGCTCACATGTTCAGTCCATGGTACTCTCAACATCCTTCTGTCAAAACACATCTCTGTTGCTTCAAGTCTCCTCTTCATTTACTGCTATATAGGAGGACTGGTATTACATAGCAGTTCAGTAGTCTTTTTTTATTTATAACAAAGTAAAGTATGAAAAATACATAAACTGTCAATATAAGAAACAAAAAACAACATTAATATATATTAGTTCACAACTCTTGGAAAGACTGTAGCTTATACTAAGTTATGCTCTTTTCTCTTCATTTCACTCTTCACTTCTTGCTTTTCACTTCACTTCTTGCTTTTTGCTTCTCACTTCTCGCTCTTCACTTCTCGCTCTTCACTTCTCGCTCTTCACTTCTCGCGTTTCACTTCTCGCTCTTCACTTCTCGCGTTTCACTTCTCGCTCTTCACTTCTCGCGTTTCACTTCAGGCCATTATTTATTAGGCATTGGCTGAGTGTAATGGTCATGCAAACTATATGTTGATTTAAAAAAAGAAAAAAATTTCTCACCAAATGAAAAATTCAGAAAATAAAGTAAACCAAAAAATGTCATCTTGAACATTCATATAAAATAAAAGACTTAAGTTAATTAAATGTAGCCGTCTAATATTTTACAATTATCTCTATTACTCATTTCAATAAAATAAAAAAAATATTAAATCCTGAGCCTTACTGCATCCTAAGCAGTAAGTTTTTTTTTTTTTTTTTTTTTTTTTTTTTTTTACAGATTTATGGATTAAAACTATGACCTTTAACCAAGTCTTGCAGGCATCACTCTCTCGGTCATTTAAAAATAAAAAATATGCTATGACCTTTATTATAAAAGCTGTGTGTGTATGTGTGTATGTGTGCATGCAATTTCTTTATATAAGATGCTGTTATTAAAGTAAGCTCTATTTGTTCTCCAGCCTGAAATCTCTGCACTAATATTTTTTTTATATTTATTCTTTTCATGCTTTACTTCTATCTCCTCACTGCTTACATAATGTACAAGTTGGCCGTCTTTTAACATCTGTTTGGACTTCTTCCAGCAATTTAATGCTTCTGACCAATTTGCTTACATTGTGCCAACCGACATTTGGCTCATCTACCTGCAACTGTTCCAAATGTACGTGAAAACTGTGCCATTTACAAAAAAAGCTGTTGGGTTTGTCTCTAAAGAACATTACCTCCAACCATTTCTAGAACAAAACCTGTGGTTCTTTGTAAATTCAGCAGTAGAACAGAGCAGCCAATTCCTTGGATATTAGAATCAGGTTTCTGATGTTGCAGAAATAATCTAGAAATTTTCCATGTGTCTTGATGCATGTTTTCTTTTTTTTTTTCTTTTTTAAACCATTAATAACCCCCCATTACAAATATGCCCCAAAAAGCAAAATCACATTGACTAGACCGAAATAACAACTGAGGTGTTAATCATGGTTATGAGATATTGATTGCAAATTAAAAAGTGGTTTCTTTTTATTTAAAGAGCCTCTGTTAGGTTTTACACAAACTTAAAAGTAAAAAGCATGAATTATTGGGTTGCTGTTCTGAAGTATACAAAAGTATCCTTCCAGGATGTACGGAATCATGACTCTCTTGTTCTTGGGAAAGATAGTGAAGTGGTGGCTCAATTGCTTTCTCTATGGTTTGTGATACAGTTTTCCTTCTCTGGTTGCCATTCGAGATTAGAGAGCCCAATCTAACTTGCTAATTAATTAGTCCATAGATAGAAAGAGAAAAGATGGATTCATGCCTTTCCTAAGGTCATTTGTGTGAAAATTAGTGCAACAGATTTAGCTTTCTGCTCCAACATTTGTTACACCACCTGCACATCCACTGAAACATATTGTGGGCTGGTGCATGCGTTGAGAGATAAACATGTGTGTCTCCTGAAATTCCCACAACAAACATGGCAGACTCAAGACAGACTCAAGATGAGTCCCCCTAAAGAAATGTAAAAAAAACAACAAGAACCGATATATATGTACAAACAAATGATAATGTATTAACAAATGAAAGGTTACAAGTGACAGACAATAATGTGTGTAACAAATGAATGTGGAAACTGTTTGGTCCAAGCTATGTGTAATGAGCGAATGTGCATACGTACTTGTGTGTGTGTGTGTGTGTATTGTTCATGCATTTCCCAAAAAGGGAACATGACATGTTGATGCAGAAAAGTAAGAAGTGTAATAATACATTATTGTAGAGGATTTAGAGTGCCAGAGAGCGTCCTCTAGTAACAGTTTCAAAAATTAGGTGGAGGTAACCTGATAGTACATTAGCAAGAAAGGTATACATTTTATTTTTTTTTTTTTTTATTTTTTTTTTTTTAAACAAGGGAGCTAATTCACCCAAAAGTCATATTGGTGGATGCATCAAATACATTAATTCATCATAAAACTTCATCTGTGCATTACTGGCCTGAAAAGAAGGTATACTTGTCATCTCTTTCAGTGAAAAAGTTTCATTAGAAGGTACAAATACTTATTTCACCCACTCTATTGATTGGGTTTTACAACATAACAACTGTTGTTGGTTTATTTAATGTCAAAATAATTTTTTATTATGCTTGAGTCTATAGGTAAGCATTGGTTGTCTTTTGAATTGACACTGCAAGCATCCACTTAGTTTGATGTCCTCTCTTTTTCTCTCTCTCTCTCTCTCTCACACTCTCTTCCTTCCCTTTTTTTTCCTGGGAAGAGGGCCACTTACCCTTCTGCAAGAAATACCCTCTGACAAAGCACACACACACACACACACACATATATATATATATATATATATATATATATATATATATAATTTAAATGTAATTTTTAGTGGATACCCATATTTGATTAAACACTCCATTTATTTTAAACAGTATTTTATTATGTCCACCAGACTGAATATTCAAGAAATCTTGAGGCAGCATTTTTCTTTAATAAGATTTCTCAAATATTCAGGCCAGTAGATAAAAATGAAAGGCTGTTTAAAATAACCCAAGCGTCTACTCAAATATATCCAGGGTACTGCAAAAGTAACATCCTTTTTATTTATTGAGCAAAAATAAATTACAGTATAAGAAAATTTATAAGTATTGCATCAAAACCTGCTTTGTAATGATTAACAAACTACTTAACATGTTCAAAATGCTCCCCTTCATGTTCAATACAATATGCTGAAGCCTATCAGCAACATTTCTGCAAACCATTCAACACATTTCTACATGAATTTGAGGAAATTTATCAGAAATTGCTTGTTTTAATTCAGGAATTGTTTTGATTTGAGCCTATAAATAAGTTCTGTCAGTAGAGCCTAAAAGAAAAAGTCTGGAATTAGGTCTGATAATTGCCCCACATTGTCCAATCCACCTCAGCTCAAGATAAAGATTTAACCATTCCTGAACGCATAAGCCACAGTTAATCTTAAACCATCTTAAACTACCATAATTTATTTTTGTTCACTAAAACTTTAAGTTAAAAAAAATGGGGCATTACTTTTGCTGTGCCATACTGATCCTCCTGACTATTTTGTAGTAGTGAGTCAGTTAAAATAATGCCCATTTTAATTTAATTTTACAAGTATTTGTAACTTTTTAGCTAAGCAAGAGATTATCTTTAATTAATCTCTGTAATGAACCGCACAAAATGAAATCCTGTCTATAAAATGTCATGTAAAACCATTTTCCTTTGAAAAAGAATATATTAAAAGAAAGAATAAAATAGTTATGAAAAATCATAAATTTATTGAGGAAATATTTATCTTCTGTAGTCTGGATGCAATTCTTTCTCTTTGCAATCATTCCAATTCTATCCAAGTGCATTATCAAACATTTAACAGACCTGCATGTTTCTTTCAAGATTTGCATCAAAATCCATGTTGCTGCTCTAACTCTACTCTACTCGTCATAGCTTTTGAAATTCTATTATGTATTTTTACATCTCCTTAATCAGCACTGACAGGCTCGTCTTGAATTCAAACATAAAATCTGGTTCACTTTTAACATTTTAAACCACCTGGAGATACTTATAATTTTTTTTTTTTTTATTATTATCACTTCATCTCCTTTCAAAGTTGAGAACAAGCTCAAAGCCTTCTTTCTAATACTTTAGACAGACACTCAATGGAATGCAATTTGCATTGCAGTCCTTGATCCATTTTATTTATATTCATCCCATTTCATTTTCTCAATTCAATTTAGAGAACATTGCATAACAGTTAAAGCTGTCAGTCTTTTCTTTTTATCAACTTGCTTCAAAAATGGTTTCTATCATTGACTTATTTAATCAAAATGATTATGCAATTTCTACCTTCTTCGAGTTTGTCATATTTTCTAATTATTTCAAGTTTCTACTCTAAAGGTGTGTGTATATATATATATATATATATATATATTTTATTTATTTATATTATATATATATATATATATATATATATATTGTAAAAAAAAAAAATGATGTATTCTTTCTCTGCTAATGCTGCTGACAAGATAAAGCAATGTGTAAGACGTGTTTCAATAATAAGGTATTGGCTGCTACTGCTATGAAAAAAAAAATGTTCATTTTAAGATTTTCCTTATTGAGTGGAATTTGTTAAAGGGCTTGCAGTTTGACAACCCTAACCTGTCTAGGTGCCCATTGGAAAAGGAATTTGTGGAGACTCTTTTGTTACCAATAATTCTTCTTCAAAAATGTCTGCCATTCTGGACATGTATAGAAAGCAAAGCACTGTCATAGAATCTCTGTTTTTGGTAGCAGAAGGTACTGCAAACATTTACACCCAGATTAAATTTATGAAGTTGGACTGTTTCTTCATAAATTTGATCAGGATGTGCAGCTTATACATAAGTGACAGAGAGAGACAGAACTGTTTTCATCAGACGAAGCCATTGTCCTTTCTCTTGTGGAAGGAGAGGTAACTGATAATCTTTCCATGTCTCTACCCTATAGACACAGTTCTACCATGCAATGAGACATAAAACTGTTAGATTGTCCAATATGGAATGGACAAGCAATCTGTTAAATGCATTACCCTATATTTTTGTTGCAGATAATTTATAAAAAGAGGCTATCAAAAAACAAAACTAATTAATGCTTTTCCAATTATCACACTTCGGAGATTGTTAAAGTGATTGATATAACATTGAGAATTTTTTGTGAAAATTAAAAAATCATTACCTTGTTTTCATTTTTTTTTAATTTTTTTTTTTCCAGTTTCAAAAATAAGTGTTGTCAGTGTCATAGATAAGTTATTTTTAATCCTAACATTTTTATGTTGCATTTAAAGTTTAAATATATATGTATATGTGGTATTATGTATAGAACAGTGCTTGACAGCATAGGAAAATGAATATATTGAATATGTTTTAGGTATTATAATTATTTTAGCTTCATTGTAAATATTTTATACACATCATACAAAAAATAACTTTAATTAGATACCTTCCACATCAAGAGACAGCATTTTAAAATGTGTATAAAATAATTACAATACATATAAAATGTTTAATATATTCATTTTCTGATCCTGTCAAGCTATGCATTCTACATTTTTTATATGAATATAACTCCAAGCAAAGCAGACCTAAAGGGTTATTAGGCATGAAAGAATTAGAAATGAGAAACTTTACTAAGGAGTGTTCAGAAAATTGATGTGGCATCTCCCTTCACAATGAGGTAAACAAATCGTAAGTCTAAACTCAAAAATCCAGGGGCAGAAAGAAATCACAATTCATTGATTCAATATCACAAATCCCAATACACATAAACAGTCAGAATTCCAACACACCATCTGACGGATGAGGTAGCAAAATAAATGAAAATTATTTTCGCCCAATTTGAGAATACCAACTGCTTTTATCAACAGAACAATTTTTCTTTATTGGTCATCAGGTGGGAGAGATCACACAATATTTACATATCTGAGATACATTTGTGGTAACACCTGCAACTGACTTATTTCTATTTGGGGTAGAACACGTATCATTTTTTTCTCAGTAAGTAACTTTCTTTTTTGCCACATTTTCCAACATAGAATACGTATGATACACTGTTGCTTGGTTTGACGAGGCAATTCGCCATTTTCTTCGCTACAAGGAGCAAGAACAAAAGAGTAATCCAGAGGACAGTTGAAAGTGATTGAAATTGCATTTACATTTTTGAAGAATAGAGTTGGCTGGAAACATGAAACCAAAAGAGTTCCATAAGTGAGAAGTGCAAGAAAAGAAGCTGTTAGCATGGAATTTACCATTACATCTAGCCAACTCAACTGTAAATTGGTGAGACCTAGCTGCCAATCTAGTTTTGTGCTTAAATTCAAGAAGTATGGTACCATGGCAAAGAGAAACTTGAAATGTAACATTAAAAAAATGCTAGAATGTAGCTAACAAAACCTTTGTCTATGATACATTTAGTTCTTGATAATGACTGAGTGGATATTTTTAAAAAAAAAATTGTATAGTTTATCCATAATTTTGATATTGATGTACTGAAAAAATACAAAAAAATATTGACATACAAAAATACTGACATTGTAGATTTTATTTAATAAAACTTAAATGAGAAATGAATTCTTATATATAATGAATTAATGCAAAAAGGGATTACAAAATAAATTGTTTGGTTATTTGGTCAGATTTTGGGAATTGGGCCGGGCCGAGAACTTTTCTGCACACTCACTTGTATATCATTTATGTACTTATATAATTATATAGTGTGATTTCTACAGCTGAGAAAAAGAAATTTTGATTGCTTGAAATATTTATCACTAAACAAAAATGCCAATGACTTTGTTTTTCCCTATTGCAATATTTTACATTCTGCTCTGAGAAATTGTCATCTTTTTTTGGGTGAGGATTAAGAAAAAGGAATTTTTTATAGTGGGCTACAGAAACATTTTTTCTTTTCTTTCTTTCATTTACTTATTTTTAACCAAAAACACTTTTTCTGAAACTGTTTTTGTTTCTTATTTTTGCAGAAAAATGTTGAGAGGAGTGTCAAATTTTTTGTTTGGTTACAGTTCTACTCCAGAATCCACAGAATGCCAGGAAATTGACCTAAAAACTCAAGTCACAGAAGAAGACTGGATTTTGGTGGAAACAGAAAACAAAGGTAAGTGGATGTCTCACAGAAATTCCTTCAACTTGCAGTCATCACTTGTTTTTGTTTTTTGCTATATAATCAACCATCTTTCATTCCTATCCATTGAGAATGACAGGTATTTAAGTTGGATAATTAATGAGATCTAAAGAATTTTTATTCATGAAAATAATCCTGTAACTGGGTACTATTTATATAATTTATCAACACTTCAGCCTAGGATCAGGGCCACTGTGCACCCTGCAAAAGATCAGGATGTCTGTAGAGCATGTAAACAAAATATTTCTCTTTCTCTCTCTCACCCTCTCTCCCCTTCCCCCTCACCCTCTTTCTCCCCCTTCCCCCTCTCGTAATATTTGCATTTTTTTTTTTTTATATCCATTTTACAGAAGTAACTAATACTGTAATCAATGTCTGTCTTTGATTTCTCTGACATTTTTGATGGAACAATTGTAAGCCAAATTGGCTCTAAACAAAAATTCCTTGTCTGTTGCATTCAATAATACTTATTTACATGAGAAATAAATGTATAGGTGAAACTTTTTCATGGGGCATTTTTATTCCCCCCCCCCATATAGTTTGTGGGGTTGAATTTTTCCATATTTCATTCTCTGAACTGTCTGAAGATCACTCATTATGTGAAACATGTAGCAGAGCAGTGTCTTTGGATATTTCTGTTTCCGGCCATGAAACCTAGGTTCAAATCTTACCATGGTTTGTTTGTCAGGAAGGTGTTATTTGTCTGGCAGAAGGTGATCTCAACTTGCAGCATCTTTGGAAAGTGCCTGAAAAACATATCACAGGTTCATTCAAGCCTTGTGAAGGAAATTAGGTAGATGGAAATGCCCAGAAGCCATTAACAGTTATGCTAGCACAAAGTCACAAGTCATTGTGACTGAAGGCTGGTGTTGTTCAAACCACTGATAATTCCAAATTATGTACTCTCTCCTAGACTCAATATAGTTGCAGTATAAGGCACAAGTGGTCTCTGTGAGTATTGAAAAAACACAAATGTGCCAGAGACGGTGTCTGCAAAAGAAAATGGCCAGCCACCTTAGCAGATAAATGTGCTTGGAAAACAAGTAGCTAGCCATTTTATCCCTCCCCCACACACACACATATATAACACATCACAGCTAGCCTAAATTACAACACTCTTCACTTACATCACAACACTCACTACTACAAAACTGGCCAGTTGTGTCTACCTCCCCTAATTATGACTTAAGTCACAAGCTTGGACCATATTTCTTGTACTTTCCTTCCAAAATGAACTTTGGACAATTTCTGATGAAATTTCCTCCTTGCCTGAGAAGGGTCATTTGGAAATTTGTTGATAATTAAAGTGAATCTGCACAAAATGTATGTTTTTAATATTTGCCTTAGAGAACATTTACTGCCTAAATATACAGATATATATATATATATATATATATATATATATATATAATGATATAAATTAGCACAAAGTTTTAACAAATGTTTCTTCTCAAAGAGAAAAAGATGTGGGAACACAAAATTGTGATATTTGTGTAAATTTTCATACAGTTTTACTTGGATAAAGTAATAAAATTGTAAAATATGTTCAAAATTATAACAGAGGAAAGAAACTATTTTTTTCTGTGCACATAAAATAAGAAATAAGCAAAGCATTCAATATTTCTTTGTTAATTTCTTTGTTTTCAGATTTCATTTGATGTCCAAATATCCCCCCTCAAAAAGTGGCTTTTTACATAAACAATTTCTCCATCTATTCTTTCAAAGCCAAATTGTTGGCACCTACATGTGGAGTAATTGTTAGCAAACATATCTCATTGATAATTATTGAGATCAATCCTCACTTGTGTCCTTGTGACAATTGAACTACTTTTTACTAAATAAACATTTAGAAGTGTAAAAATAATTTTCTTTCGCGTCTCTCTCTCTCTCTTTCGCGTCTCTCTCTCTCTCTCTTTCGCGTCTCTCTCTCTCTCATTTTCCAAGAATACCTTTTCTCCCATCTTCCCTGTTTATATTACTGTAACTTTATAAATTCATAATTTTATTTCATTTTTTTCTCCTTTATCAATTCAACATTTTTCTATCTCCTCCTCCTCCTTCCTTTTTTTGTATTTACTTCCACCCCCCCATCCTTTTCCTACCCCCTCCCCCACGACTCATTTTCTTTATCAATTTGACTTTTTCTCTCCAGTTTCCTTATTTTTTTTGCCTGTTTTTCTTAAACCTTATCTAGAAAAATAGATCCAAATATTATTCTAGCCAACAAGAGATTGTTTCCCACAAAGTGTTTCTGCATTTAGAAAAAATAAAAAAGTATTAAAAACAAAAATTAGATGCATCTTTATCTTTTGTTTAATCAAGCACCAGTAACCCTCAAAACCTGGGGTCTTTAAGTTTTAGTCTACACACACTTATAATTCCTGTAGTTATGATAAAGTTTACCCATTCTTATTAGAAATAATAAGTCTCATTTTAAAATTAATTTGTTATACTCTTTGCAAATAACAAAAATTAATTTCATAAATACAATATAAGAATTTGTAAGTTATAAGTTTCATATTTTTAAAAGAAATTGCTTCATATATCTATGTACCATGTTTTTTTAAAAAAAAATACATACACACACACGTGTGTGTGTGTTGATCTGAGGAATTTCAGTTCTAAGGAAATAAATTATAATTGCCATGAACCCTTAAAGTTGTCTGTTTCTTAATATAATTAATATTTGCTCTGTTTTTACATTGAGCTCTTTGGATTGTATCCATATGGATTACCAAACACATCTCCATATATATATATATATATATATTAGAGAGAGAGAGAGAGAGAATTAATATAATTAAAAGGTTTGTCACTTAGCCGATTGATGTTACCTTCAGCATCGTGACTCCAGAGTTTCATAGTTAGACCCCCCTCCATCCACTCTTCGGTGGGTATCAGCAATTGACTGCTTATACTTTCCAATTTTTCTTTTTTATATACACTTTTTATTGGTGTAGGTTTTGTGTAGTGTGTGTGTGATGCATTTTAAAAATTAAAAATCTTTCTTGAAGTTTTTATTTTTAATTCCAAGCTATTGTGTTAAATTTAATATTTCCAATAAGCAAAATACTTTGCAAAATTTCAAGCTGAATTTAAATTGATTAGAAGGTGCAGTTTTTTTTTCTTTTTTTCTTTTTTTTTCTGATTATTTTTAAAATCTATAAAATCATCCATAATTCTCTTTATTAAAAAATCTTCCAAGAATAAAATATATTTTTCTGAAACATTATTTTGGGAAGATTAATTTAAATTTAATTAATCTGAATTGAAATGAATATTACTTACTTTTAGTTTAAAATAGCACATAATAGCATTTTTTTCTTTTACTTTTTTTTTTTTAACAAAAGGGGTGGGTTTTATGGGGTGTTAAAATAGATATGTTTATCAACAGCCTTATGCTTGCGGAATTTAAATATGAAGATGGTAATTGTAATAAAATTACATAACTTCTACAATGTAAGTGCTTTTTTTTATATATTTTTTTAACTATCCAGTAATTTTAAAAATTTAAAATATTTTAAACATTCTATTATTGAATTTTAGGTATTTTGGCTTTATAGTCTTACTTACAAAGACACTTAATGATGAAATATTAGAAAAATTACCAATAAATCTTATAGTTACTGTAGTTCACTCTTATTTTCTGTTAATATCATGTATGGATATCCGTATTTAAAAAAAAAAAAAAAAAAAAAAAAATTGGCACGTTTATACACATACAAAAATAATTCAAAATTCTTTTTAAAATACAGGGGTTACTGAATCGTAACCTTTTCATATATGATTAGTAAATACTTTTTATTTAATAAAAATATCCAAAGTGAGATCATATGACTTCACTGCTACAAATTAATGGAAATTTAAGTTTCTAAATTATTCTAATTAAAATTTTAAAAACAATTCTTGTAAAAAGCTTTTCTAATGTCTTTAGCCAGCAAAAATTCTCCACATCTTGAGGGACAACTCGTGACCTGATTCTGCCTATCTCTACATCATGACATTTAGCTTTCAATTGGACATCTTTTTTTTTTCTTTTTTTTTCTTTATCCTACTCTGAATTCTCAATAAGAATCAATGCAATAGAGGAATCCAACCAGTCAGCCTTTATCAATTCCCAAATGTTAAGCGGAAATAGCATACCAATTTGGGGCTCCATGTTGCATAGATATTCTTTGTCACAACACAAAACCATTGATACACAACATATTAAACAATCTACCAATTTGTAAGCTGTTAAGAATGAAAAAAAATCCTACAATCAATCACAGGCATGAGAATCGATAACTGGAGTCTCACACAAGTTCATACAAGAATTAACTGTAATTACAACAAAATCAGTAGCTGAAGCTTTTATAAATACATGGATTAAAAGATATGGATTTTCATTTCATGTCACAACTGTTGAATAATGAATGTCACCAGGATTGAACTCAGGAACTCCTATTAATGAAAGTATGTGTAATACTCTTATAATAAGCTGACCAACCTTCTAATTACAGTGAACCTTTCCAGGCTAATAATAAAATCTCCTGATATTCATTTGGGTTGAAAAGATTTGAGTGTACTTGGTGAACCTATAAACCTTAGCAATGACAGGTGAAGTCAATTTGAAAGCAAATAGTTTTTAATGCTATCAAAAATTATAAGTTTTCATAGGATGCCATAATGCAACAGTTTTATAGAAAGAAAAATTGTGAGACTTGCAAGACAATCCAAAATTAACAGCCAGACAAGTGAGGAGTGAATGCAGACTTAACAGTAAGATTTCAGTTGATGCAGTATGCAGAGTATTGCAAAAATCAACTTGAATGTGCATATAGCAGCAAAAAAAAAAAAAAAAAAAATCACTGACCAAAAAATATCAGGATTAAATTGATCAAATGCACATCTAACATGGGATGCTGCAAAGTGGCAAAAAATAAATTTTTAGTGATGAATGCAAAATAGTTTCATTCTAATGCAAGAGAATA